TAAACGATCTAAATCCACGCGGCTATGGCTGAGTCGTAGCTACGATACTTTCAGTGTCTGCGGACAAGTGGATCAATTATGGATCAATTATTATGGGTCCGTAATAATTATGGATCAATTTCGAGGAGAATCGTCTACGATGTATTCGAATGAATCGATCGACTGTAAGCAGCGATTTTAAAAATGTAACCTTAAATTGTGAACGAACATAGCGAGTCTGTTTATACTTCAGTTATAGGAACAGCTACCCTCGGGACTAGGGTGGTTTAACTTAGCCTCGAGCGGTTGCAGCAAGAGTGTCCGCAGACCTGTTGACACCAACGCGCTCGTCTATCATATCAAAATTCTTGTGACTGTACACATTGAGTTACGAGCTAAGGAATGGAAACGATCGCGGATCAGACGGCGAAATGACTCGAGAAGAGCAACAGGGTCGGCGAAACACGGAATACTCGTTGGCCGATGCAACACACGGACGACAACAGCGAATTCGAAGTAAGACTTCCTGGACCGTTTTGGAAACTAGCCTGGACATCGTCGACGGTTCTCGCGACGCGAGCTGGAACGTCGGTCTCTCGAAGAGGGCAAACAGCTACTCTGAATCATTTCGCGGCGGAGTAGTGTCTTCTGTCGGCGGCTTTGCTCTCTAGAGTCGCTATTAAGGTGCCAAGCGGTTTCATGCCGAAAGCATCCTATTCCAAAAATACGCTACGAATTACATCACTTGGTAACTTGGCCTCGTGTCGCGCGGAGCAGCGGTAAATCTCGCGCTGACCAGCCGAAAAAGCTCGCGAAAATCGGCCGAGTCTCGGTATCGTGGCGTGGATCGCCCCATTCTGCGCATCGAACTTCTCGGAAGATCGATCATCGACGCGGAAAAGGCGCGCGCGAAACTCCGAAACGTCTCTGCTGAACGAAAACGTGTCTTCGAACGGCCGGCAAAATTAATCGCAGACTCTGAAAGAGTATGTCCAAGCTCGAAATTTTTCAACGTTCGTACTACAATTCCGCGGAAAATGTGATCGTTTTCGATCGGAAATCATGTGCTCGGCCGTTGAAGTCGCCGTTTCGGATCGCGCGTGTTCCAACAAAATCGAGTCTCCGACTGGTTCTTCGAGCAGCATAAAGAAAGAATTTTCGAAAAAAATACCAACAATCAATAGGTAATTTCTAGACTGACCTTGTGCACGCCACTGACGAAGAACCGTCGAGTCGGCTCGATTCTGCTCCGCCGGAGGCCTCCGCTCTCTCTCTCTCTCTCTCTCTCTTTCTCTCTCTCACTCTCTCTCTTTCTCTCTCTCTCTCTCTCTCTCGAGCCACTGTTTCCGGCCTTTCGAAACCGCGGCTCGATTCCCGAAGAGATCCGAGAGACCCGATCCGGTCGATCACCGAAAATCACTGGAATTCAACCGATTTTCAAGCACACTGACACTGACTCTGCTTTTTCCCCCTTCTCGCTCGATTTCACTGTTATTATACCACACCGTTCGTTCCATCGGCTAACACGGCTCCGTGTGCGCGGATGTTCACCGGGATCCGTTCGTTCCCCACGTCCTCAGCTAGATTCCGGATCCTCCCGACACTGGAGAAACACATCCGATGGATCACACTTGGCACGTTCGCGATACCTGAATACCCTCGCTGAGCCACCGCGGTATTTTTTGTCGAGAAAAACTCTCTATCTAAACGAGATCCTCCTCTAATAAGAACGCTAAACCGTTTGTTCGCCTACTCGCTAAACAGAGACAAGACGGACACCGGTCACAGGGCCCGTCCTCGTTTTTTTTCGTCCGCTAAATCTTTTTTCGCTAACCGCTCTACGACTCTACGCGTGTACGACGTAAGAGAATAAATAATAAAACGCTTTCACTAAGGTATATTCGCGCGGTATCTCCACAGACTCGATTAGGACCAGCAGTCATTCACACGAACACATTCTCTCCATTTTACTTTTTTTTTTCATCGATCTCTCGCTCTTTTCTCGATTAACGTGGCGCGTCGTATATATATATATATGTATATATATGTATATATACGTTCATATTATTTATATGTATGTATGTATATACATATATATGTATATATGTTTATATATACACATATATTTGTATGTATATCACTGTACACGCATCCACGGTCCCATTCGCACTCTACTTACAATTAGAATCGATTCGTTCGCGATTAGCCACGAGCGTGTCGCGCGACTCTCATCATTTTTAAAGTACTTTATATTTCGTTTCTCTCTCTCTCCGGCATCCCTTGTATCCCTATCGTTAATTATAGAGGCTTTAGTTACAATTACATTCGATTAAATGTAATAGAGGTTAACGCGGTTCTGATTAGCATGTGATCCAGTTTAGTTTTTTCCGTTTTTTTTTCTTTCTTTCTTTCTTTCTTCCGTATCCGATCCGAACCGATCCGTTTCGTTATTCTTCCACGGCGTTCCGCTACATTACGATTATTATAAGATCGCGTGTCCTTATAAATCTTCATCCGACTCGTTCGTGTGTCCCGTTTTTCCATTCCATTATTCCCTTGTGTCCTTCCGCTCGCCTTATCTCGTATTCCGCTTCCTCTCCGCCTCTCTTTTTCTTCCTCTCCCGTTCTTCTTCTTTTTTTTATATATATGTATATATATATATATTCTCTCGCTATCTTCATCCCTTTGTCATCGTCCACGTCCACACTATCATATCCACGCTGTCAGTCGGCTACGTTCGTCTCTATATTTCCCTTCGTCTCTCTTCTCCATTTTTGGTACGAGCAACTTGATTAACACGACAAAATAAGCGTCATTGCTGTTTTCAGGGGGCAGGGGGGGATTGGGGGGCTGGGTAGTCGTATTTGGAGGTGATCGGGTGGGGGGTGAGGGTTGCAGGGCTGGCNTAGTGCTGGAAACAAGGTATTAATGACCCTGAGAGAGATGAGACCTCTTTGGAAGTTCCACTCTCGGGGCTCTCTCAACCCTGCGGCGACGTCTGCGGCGAGATCTCCGTGTCCCCGTCGCCGGAGCCCGGCTCGCCCTTCGTCTTGTTCTCCTTCTTCCACTTCATCCGTCTGTTTTGGAACCAGATTTTGATTTGCCGTTCCGTCAGGCACAACGCGTGCGCGATCTCGATGCGCCGCCGCCTGGTCAGGTATCGGTTGAAGTGGAACTCCTTCTCCAGCTCCAGGGTTTGGTATCGGGTGTACGTTTGCCGGCCTCGTTTCCTCTCTGCAACATCAACCGATTCCGCTTTATTAATATTTTTTAACGTACGCATTCGGTTCGTAATTTATATACGATTTTAACCGGTCGGGGATTTTTCTGCGATCTTTTTAACCGCAGCAATGAGTTAAGTTTGTTTTTGAAAGTTTTATAACGCTGATGTGCTATCGATCTTGGTTAAAATGTCCTGACTACCGATTTGACAGTTCTCGGGATGTTCTAAAATATTTGGAACATCGCTGGCACTTTACATTTTCAGCAAGAATATTCTGTATAGTTCATCGAGTTTCAAATGTAATTCCATTTATTTGATTGCATTCTTGTTTAAACATGATTTTATTAATTTGAAGCTTTAGGTTTTGGACGATCGGAAATGTTAGTTAGAACGATTTGACTGTGGACATTGTGCCGGGTCTAGAAAGTTGAAGATTCGTCCGAGTAGACAGAAATAATTTTAAAGAAAACCATGAAAGATTTTCTTTTCATAAGTCTTGTAATCTCATCAGATCCAAAATACCGTGAAACTTCTGTCAACCGAAGTCTGATCAAGGAAAAATGAATGTTTGGATGATAGAACAGTTACTCAATTGTAATGATAGATTTAATCTTGACCGGTTACTATAATAATATCGTAAAAAATTAAATTTCAATTAATAAATGCCAATAAGTGTGGAATTCGTTTGGATAAGGAAAAATTCATGCGTCGGAAGTTCGGATAATCGAAGTTCCACTTCGGAAAACCATTTTCTGAGAAGAAACGACAATCAATTTTCTTCAAATTTCCTTTTTAATTATTGAATCTTTTCTTTTCCAGCTTCCTAGTGCATCATAATATAAATCAAGTTTCATCAGGATCAAGAAAAGTATGTCTCCCAGTATTCACGATCAAGAAAATCGATCATTTCAAATAGATTTCCAGGCTCACAATATTGAGAACGAACCATCACAATAAAGTGCATTCCGAGAAAGTACAATCAATTATATTTTACATTTTCTAACGCTTCTTGCAACTGCATTTGGCAGGAGCATCGCTAGTGTGTTTGTTAGCAGTTCGCCGATCTAGTGGAATACTTAAGGAGGATGAATGGGGCAGCTTGACCTTCATCCTCGGGTCTGTCTGCTTGGATAAACGAGCACGATTTATAAGTTCGACTCTCTTGATAACGATGCAACTGCACCTACAGCAGAACGCGCGCGCTGCGGCTGGAGAACTTGAGCAACACGTTGCATTCCGAGGCAGCGACTGCAATTTCCTACGTTTAATCGGGCCAATTTAGAAAAATTGAAAGCTCCAGAGCCCGCAGACAGTCTCTGGCGAAGTTTCCAGAGAAATTTGAAGCCTCGCGGAAGAATCTGGCCGGTCGCAAAAATGCTGGTGCTACAGAATTGCAGTGAACAGCATAGAGTGCATTTATCTGACCAAGCGTCATTGCCGTAACAGAGGTGGCTGACACTGCTCCCGATAACGCCGAAGAAAGCTTCGTTTGCATAAATGCAGTTCTCTTGTACCATTCTTGAACCTTTTGCCGAGTATCTCGATGCATCGGCTAGCGCAAAGTTCTACGATCAATCGCGCGGGCCTCGACGATCATAACGAACTTTATACTTATTAAAAAAGACGTACTAATATTGTTGCTTCTTTCGTTTTGTTCCTCTTTCAATACAAAAATTTAATGTGACTTATTCGATGAATATAAAGTCAATAAACTTACGGATATAATTCAAGAATAAAATAAAACAAGAAAAAAATGTAACGCGTCTTTTTCGTTAAATATAAAGTTAACTNCTGGCGGGTTTTTTTGTGGCGCGGGGGGGTGTTCGGGTAGGAGGTAGTGCTGGAAACAAGGTATTAATGACCCTGAGAGAGATGAGACCTCTTTGGAAGTTCCACTCTCGGGGCTCTCTCAACCCTGCGGCGACGTCTGCGGCGAGATCTCCGTGTCCCCGTCGCCGGAGCCCGGCTCGCCCTTCGTCTTGTTCTCCTTCTTCCACTTCATCCGTCTGTTTTGGAACCAGATTTTGATTTGCCGTTCCGTCAGGCACAACGCGTGCGCGATCTCGATGCGCCGCCGCCTGGTCAGGTATCGGTTGAAGTGGAACTCCTTCTCCAGCTCCAGGGTTTGGTATCGGGTGTACGTTTGCCGGCCTCGTTTCCTCTCTGCAACATCAACCGATTCCGCTTTATTAATATTTTTTAACGTACGCATTCGGTTCGTAATTTATATACGATTTTAACCGGTCGGGGATTTTTCTGCGATCTTTTTAACCGCAGCAATGAGTTAAGTTTGTTTTTGAAAGTTTTATAACGCTGATGTGCTATCGATCTTGGTTAAAATGTCCTGACTACCGATTTGACAGTTCTCGGGATGTTCTAAAATATTTGGAACATCGCTGGCACTTTACATTTTCAGCAAGAATATTCTGTATAGTTCATCGAGTTTCAAATGTAATTCCATTTATTTGATTGCATTCTTGTTTAAACATGATTTTATTAATTTGAAGCTTTAGGTTTTGGACGATCGGAAATGTTAGTTAGAACGATTTGACTGTGGACATTGTGCCGGGTCTAGAAAGTTGAAGATTCGTCCGAGTAGACAGAAATAATTTTAAAGAAAACCATGAAAGATTTTCTTTTCATAAGTCTTGTAATCTCATCAGATCCAAAATACCGTGAAACTTCTGTCAACCGAAGTCTGATCAAGGAAAAATGAATGTTTGGATGATAGAACAGTTACTCAATTGTAATGATAGATTTAATCTTGACCGGTTACTATAATAATATCGTAAAAAATTAAATTTCAATTAATAAATGCCAATAAGTGTGGAATTCGTTTGGATAAGGAAAAATTCATGCGTCGGAAGTTCGGATAATCGAAGTTCCACTTCGGAAAACCATTTTCTGAGAAGAAACGACAATCAATTTTCTTCAAATTTCCTTTTTAATTATTGAATCTTTTCTTTTCCAGCTTCCTAGTGCATCATAATATAAATCAAGTTTCATCAGGATCAAGAAAAGTATGTCTCCCAGTATTCACGATCAAGAAAATCGATCATTTCAAATAGATTTCCAGGCTCACAATATTGAGAACGAACCATCACAATAAAGTGCATTCCGAGAAAGTACAATCAATTATATTTTACATTTTCTAACGCTTCTTGCAACTGCATTTGGCAGGAGCATCGCTAGTGTGTTTGTTAGCAGTTCGCCGATCTAGTGGAATACTTAAGGAGGATGAATGGGGCAGCTTGACCTTCATCCTCGGGTCTGTCTGCTTGGATAAACGAGCACGATTTATAAGTTCGACTCTCTTGATAACGATGCAACTGCACCTACAGCAGAACGCGCGCGCTGCGGCTGGAGAACTTGAGCAACACGTTGCATTCCGAGGCAGCGACTGCAATTTCCTACGTTTAATCGGGCCAATTTAGAAAAATTGAAAGCTCCAGAGCCCGCAGACAGTCTCTGGCGAAGTTTCCAGAGAAATTTGAAGCCTCGCGGAAGAATCTGGCCGGTCGCAAAAATGCTGGTGCTACAGAATTGCAGTGAACAGCATAGAGTGCATTTATCTGACCAAGCGTCATTGCCGTAACAGAGGTGGCTGACACTGCTCCCGATAACGCCGAAGAAAGCTTCGTTTGCATAAATGCAGTTCTCTTGTACCATTCTTGAACCTTTTGCCGAGTATCTCGATGCATCGGCTAGCGCAAAGTTCTACGATCAATCGCGCGGGCCTCGACGATCATAACGAACTTTATACTTATTAAAAAAGACGTACTAATATTGTTGCTTCTTTCGTTTTGTTCCTCTTTCAATACAAAAATTTAATGTGACTTATTCGATGAATATAAAGTCAATAAACTTACGGATATAATTCAAGAATAAAATAAAACAAGAAAAAAATGTAACGCGTCTTTTTCGTTAAATATAAAGTTAACTAAGGCCGAGAACGAACAAATGCACAACAATTAACGACCCTACGCTGCTGAGAGAACCTAAACGCTCAAATAGGATCCAGTACGGACACGTGTCGATGAACACCGAGCAACCTGCATCGCCGCGATTTTTCTAGCTCGAGGACGAGAACGCTAGCCGAAGAAAAAAGCCGGTGTTTTCGTGGGCTTAGCGTTCGCGTATGATAGATGCCTAACAGATATCCGTGACATGATCTGCGCTCGGTGTGGCGGTACACGAATCCCGAACAAGAATATTAATTGTGCTCGCGAGGGGAGCAAGGGAAAGGGGGAACGTTGCGTATACACGGCGAGAGAGAGAAAGAGAGAGAGAGAACCAGCTAGGACGGGTCTTCGAGGTTGCCTGTGTCCGTGCGAGCCTTCATACTGTCTCGCGCAGGCATAATCTCAAAGGGTTAGGCTGGCTGTTGCCACACGAGCGCAAGAGGGCAAAACAAGAATATTCGAGGTACGAGGGAGGGAAAAAAGAAGAAGGGGATGGCCGGGGAGGAGGAGGACGAGCAAGAGGAGGAGGAGGCGGAGGAGGTGGAGAGGAAGAAGAGGAAGAAGAAGAAGAAGAAGAAGAAAACTCCTTGGTGAGCATTCGAGGCAAACGCCGCCCGTCGCGCTGTCGGCCGATGAAGACGGATGGCGACTCTCCTCCGGAGAGAGAGACCGTTTCTCCGAGGGTTCTCCCGTCCCTCCGACTGGGCCCGGAGAGGTCCGAGAGAGAACGACTCTGGGAAGATGCCCTCTTGTTCCCTCCCTCCGGCCACGGTCTCAAATTAACAACATACCAATCTCTAGCCTCCTTACTTATAACTTTTAACCATTTCGCTGGCACCCTCCGATCGTCTCCCTACCAGACTGGCCCATTTACACCATCTAGCGTGCTTATGCAAATTTCGGGAACAATTTAAATAGAAATAGGTTCAATGAGATTCTTCCGTACTATGCGTTTTAAAGAGTTCTTCGAATGCTGACAGATGTACGTGCTTTTTTTACGATTCGACGAGCTGGAGCTGCTTCTTTGTTCATTCCGCGTGGACCAAGAGGTGTGGAAGTAATCAAGTAGCTTGAATAAATAATTCATACCTCCCTTAATCGTTCTTAGTTCAATAAATAGTCTTCGTCTTTCAGAAGAACGTTTTGGAACGTGCTCTATCCTAGCGTCAACGACCGGACTCACGCTTCCAAGCCGGAGAACAATCATTTTACCTTTCCGCGACTTATTTAGGGAGAATGATCCTCTCTATCGGTGCTACCGCAGACCGGAAATTCGGTCCCCGGCGACCAGCGCCGGCGGTTGCATCGAAATAAATGATCGCCGCAATCTGTAAGCATCTCGGAAGCTCAGCGAAGCTTCCGATGATATTGATCGTTCACTAAGTGTGCGTCAATTTGAGTAACACGCCGCGATCAATCCGGCCCCGAAATAGGTCCGGCGCAGGTTCCCGCGAAGTTCGAGTTCTAGCCGGCCAATCAAAGGACCCCCGGAGGATAAACATAGACACCGCGAGTTTCATCAAAGACGCTGACGAGTGTCTCGGCGGCTGCTGCGACCGCGACGGCGGCGGCGGAGCTTATTAATGTTCATTCGTCGGACGGTTAATGAAGGTGGCTCTCGGTGATGGTCTACATTCTGACCCAGAAGATCATCAAAGCGTTCACGGAATAATGAAACGACCGGGAGTCACGCTCGAGCCGGCCCGCGCCGATTAGTTCACGCCTCTTTATCGATAACAGGCTTATTACCTAATTGCCAGGGACCGGGGGAAACGAAGGATTTACGTGTACCATGTACCGGGGAACGTGGACAGTCCGAGTAATTGCCAGTCAACTGGTCAAAGCGGCTGTGTCTCGCTCTCTTTCTCTCTCTCTCTCTCTCCCGGGGGAACAAAGATGGCCGCGTTAAAAGCGGTCGTTGACTGATTCCCGGTACTGACCGAACACCGACCGCTTCCTATTAAAGTTCGTTTGTCCTACGGAGAACGGCGAGATAATATCGGCGAAGAATACGCCGGTTTTAGACGGCGTACGCTCGTTAGGCCGCACGGGGAAACGTTCGAGCTACAAAACTGCTCCAAATTCCGCGGATCAACGTTGGCTCGATCAATTTCCCCGACACGGAATCCTAAACCGACGATCCGATCCGGCCGGATTCGATTCGCCGGACACCTTGCCCGCTCAGAAAGCATAACTTCGCTCCGAGCAACTATTACCCTAATAACCAGGTAGCCGAGGAATATTGGCAATATCCTCCTCCGGCTGAGCATACAACGATCGCGCCGCGTTCCCGATCGGGCGTCGTTCGACCAAGAACGAATTAGACACTGAACAAATTCCCTCTTTCTCGGTAGCCGAGCTTGTTGCTTAATTGGGGAGGCGGGCTGGCCAGATAACGCGAACCTAATTGCCATACGCGGAAAGTGAGCGCTTATAATCTTTGCCCACTTGTTCCGACACCTGCGGAAAACATTTCTGCTAAATAATCGCCTCTGTGCTCGCGAGGTGTCGATGATATATGGACGGTCATTTAATTAATTTAAGTGTTCCGACTTGCGACGACCGGACTGCGGATTTTTAGGCGAAACAAACATTGACTGCGTCGATTGGAAGGCATGGAAACCAAGTGGCAAGTTCATTCTTCGTTTAATCATCTTGTTAGATTAAAATAGATCAAATTGACGTTCCAAAGTGCTTTTAATTTTTACACCGTTTGAAATTGTCACTAAGCAATTTTGTCGTAAATGCATAAAATCCGCGGTCTAGCTATGACTTATTTGTGTCACTGATGTTAATTAAAATAATAAGTATATTAATAGTATATTAATATTATAATAATAAGTATATTATATAAGTAATATATATAAGTATATTATAATATAATATAATATATAATATATATATAATATATATCATATATTACTTATACTTTAATATACTTATAAGGCTAGTGGATCACAGCCTTATACTTATAAGGCTATCACAGTTCTCGCAAGAATATCACTGATTTCTAATTATATCTTCAAAGATTCTTCATGTTTATCTTGGCATCGACAATTTCATTCGTGAACGAACAATGCAGCAGTCTCCTTAATGATCCTTGAAAATCATCATTGATAGAAGATTCCGAGGGTGAAGGAACTCGGACAGCCCGTCAACGGCATAATGGCCGGCCAATTTCAAGGCTGTCCGAGTGAAGCA